GCAGACCAGCTACCCACTTAGTAACCATTAAAATGAGATGAGTACTGCATTGTGTTGGCCTTGTGCCTATTATTGCCTACTACAACTAAGAGTGCAATCTGAGGGAAGAACTGAAATAAAGGATGGCCATAGCGGGGAGGATCACCCTTTTTTCAAGTCTTTTGCAGGTAGGTTGAAGAAGCAGTGGCTGACATTTCCAATTTTTAACTGTTAGTCAAATATATGGCTCTTTATTTTGTGATGGTTTTGTTAATAGGAAATGTACCGATGCATTATTGTCTGATAAGATGGACAGCATACAAGAATTGGGAAACAAATAATAAAAATACAGTTTCCTCCCCTGATTTAACAAAAGTGCATCCAAGGAAAGTAGGCATTAAACAGGACATTTTCAGTGATATATGTACTGTTTCTCCAGATGCAGATTCAACAAACAAGGGACTGGCCCTTTTTGGTTTCCAATATTGTTATCCTGGCATGCCAGAAGATGCAAGTGAAGTTTCTGATCGTAGTGTGAGATTATACACAAGGGAATTGTGTCTGTACTGTTATTTTCATCTTCCTAAGGAATGTTTATGTTGGTTCATGCCCTACTTTGAGGGGGCAGTTTATAGCATATTGAGAATTACTGCTGTCAGATGGCAAGCTGCTTCAAGACAAATAAAGTCTCTTCTTGTATATTCTATCCCAGGGTGCCGTGACTTCTGTTCGGCGTAAACGTGTAAAAGTAGAGAACATACTTGTTGTTGGAGACCATGTAGTGATACAGAAACCCCCAAGTCAATCTCTGAAACTTCTAAAGAATTCTTTGAAAGCGTGAGACGCTTGAGAATTGCACCAGGAAATGAAGAGATATTAATTAGGTAGACTTCATTTGAAGTGCTTTTGATCATTGTTTTCTCTTCAAAATGTGAGAATGCTGCCATTTCCTGAACACAGATCAATCTGTAGGCTAGCAAGGAATATATTCAAACCAGTTGTGTGCATTTGGGAATATCTTTAATTTCTCTGCAGTTTATATGCACTATGCATTTTTGCTATTATCATTTCTTCCTATTGTTTGTCTGTTGCTATAGCAGTATACCTAGTACATGTTGATGTCATCAGCATCCATGAACTGTCATATATAGTTCTTGCAAGCATCAGACTAAAGTCTCACAATTCTTTCTGATACCTAATACTATTCTGCCCCAAAATTACTGTCTTTTGTGTGCAGAGCAGTACTTTCATGTCAAGTGTGTGACCAACTGTTTTTTTTTTTTTTTATCAAGACCAGTTTTTCTTCCCAATTGATTTCCTGGTTGTTTAATTGCTGTATGATGTTCTTTCCTTGTTCTTTAGAATAAAGCACCAATGATTATTCACAATTACCTATTATGAGTTGGACTCCCTCTGAGACAAGACTTTTCAGAATGGCTAAATGTATCTCCCCAATTACTGTATATCTCATGCAGCTACTACATACAATGGGGCTACAAAGGAGGCCTGTCTTTTGGTTCATACGGTCTTCCTTCTTACCTGGAAGAACCTTTCACATACCGTCTCTAGATATCTGGGTAAAGTCATTCACCAGATGGTCCCTCATATATCATGAGAACCAGTGTAGTAGCCTCAAGTTGGCTGCAGGTAGTCCTCCCCTAACAACATTTGTTCAGTGGCCATTCAATTATAATAGCACTGAAAAGGAAACTTGTAGCCAATCCACTAAGTTCCAGCCACTACAGCGTCCCAGTGTTACATGATCGCAGTCTGGGTGCTTGGCAACCATCTTCCACTTATGATGGCTACAGCATCCTATGGTCGCCTTATCAACATTTGTGAACTTGCCTGACAGTTTCTCACGAGCAAAGTCAATAGGGAAGCCAGCAGAAAAGGTTGCTACTTGCTCTAGTACTGTGATGGCGAACTTATGGCACGTATGCCAGAGGTGGCATGCAGAGCCTTCTCTGTTGGCACGCGCACTGTCACCAGCTGATCTTCTGGTTTCCGGTGCACACATGCACGCTGACCAGTTGGTCTTTGTGGGTGCCAGAGTACTGGAAAACTGCCTGAAAACAATGAAAAACCAGGCCATTTTTCAGGCTGTTTTTCGGGCCGTTTTTGGTCCGGAAAACAGCCTGAAAATGGCCCCCAAAACAGCCCAGAAAATGACCCCAAAAATGGCCTGAAAACTACAAAAAAACCCTGCCAAAAAACAGGCATGCACGCGCCAGCCAGCTGGTTCCAGTTTGGGCACTCGATCCAGAAAAGGTTTGCCATCACTGCTCTAGTAAATCACTCTCAGCCTCCTCCGCCCGGCAGCAACTCACCCTCCAGTCCTACTCTGCTTGTGCCACATGCTGTGCCTGCCTGCTTGCAAGCCACCTGAAATTTGCATAACGACTCAAAATCTCACTTAACAACAGTGATAGAGATTGCCATAGTTAAGCAATGTGGTCACGTGACATCACATTTTCCAACTGCATCATGACAGAAATTTCACCCTCTTTACTATCGTTAACTGAGGACTGGGGTCTGTGTACCAGGTTTCCTATGCCAGCAGCCTGGATCGTGTGTTTTGCATTGATTGCAGTTTTCAAGATATCTTCAAAGGCAACCTTATAGCGACCAAGTATGTACATGTACTCCTTGATTTATGACCGCAGTTCAGACCAGAAATTGGGTTGTAAGTGAAGTGATTTTATGACTCTTTTTGCCACAGTCATTAAGCAAATGTGGTTATTGTACACAGTGGTGGGTTGCTACTGGTTCGCACCAGTTCGCAAGAACCAGTAGTAAAAATTTGTAGTAGTTCGGAGAACCGGTAATAACATTGGCTGGCCACGCCCCCGAACCAGTCCCTGGCCCGGTCGCAGCTCGCTTACCCCACCCACTTCATCAGAGGCTTTTTTTTCTTTTCTTTTAAAAGCATTTTTTCTACAACCTCTTCAGCCAAAGAGGTTGTAGGGGGAAAAAAATGCCTTTAAAAGCCTCTGGCGATCCCAGCTGAGTTGCCTGATCGTCAGAAGCTCCTAAAAGCATTTTTTCCTGCAACCTCTTAAGGTTGTAGAAAAAATGCTTTTAAAAGTAAAAAAAAAAAAGTTGGACACGCCCACCCAGTCACATTACCCCCCCACCAAGCCACGCCCACAAAATAAGCCATGCCCACAGAACCGGTAGTAAAAAAATTTAGAACCCACCTGATTGTACGTGTGAATCCATTCATTCCAATGGGTCACATTAGTGCAGAACCTTACAGCCGGAGGTAAAGATGACTGGTTGCCACGCACCTGACATGTCATATGACTGTTTTCAACAGCCAGGCCATAAAGCATCCATTCCATGATTATTATAAATGCAAATGATTATTAAGCAACCTGTTGTAAGTTGACTACCTGTGGTGATGAGAATGCTAGTTACTGCTACCAAGTGTAGCTGTAAATGTATTAGCTAATTGTCATTTTGGATATACATGCGTGTGCGCGCACACACAAACACACTGATGTCAAGAAATACCAACTGTTAACATAATCAACATAAGTTGTACTTTCAATTTAAAGAAAAGTGATAAATTCTATTTTGTGTATTCTTGGGTGTGTCTTCAAGTCAGTGTTCACTCCTGGCAACTGCATGGACAAGTCCCTGTAGTTTGCTGGTAATAAACAGCCGGAAGACAATACACAATCAGTCTCCTTAAAACTGATACTGTTTTCATTTTAGAGAAACGAAACATGTTAATTGGCAACAACACCCAAGAATCATGAAAAATGCAACAAAGCCAGGCCAGGATGGTAACGTGTACCAAGAACAACCCAAACAAAAATGCCATAGATAGAACCCTTTATATTAACCATTTTGAGGGCGATGCACATTGCAGGATATGGCAGCCAGAGATTGTGTGCAGTTGCTATGGTCAATGATTCATCCTTTTATTTATTACCTTTATATCCGTCTTCTCCTCTAAGGAACAAGGTGACATACATGGTTCATTAGAAAAAGAACTCTCTCCCTCAAAAGGAAAGAGAGAGGCACATTATGCCGTAATTAAGATCAAATGAAACATCATATTGTGAGCAAGCTTATTAAATTTACAATTAGTTTTTCTTCAAAGTACAGGTTAAGGAGAAAATGTGGGGGTGAAGGGAGTCATTGCAAAGACTAGTTTCCTTGTGAAGAATAGAGGTATCTAGAAGCTATGCTTCCAACAGAATATTGTGTTACACTATCTTGTTTACTGCATAGCAAATATTATTGGGTATCCAGTCTTGAAAATTAGCTTAATGTGGGTCCGAGAATCATTTTGACATTTAATTCCAGTGGTAGAAATGTCTTCCAAGTGATAATTTATGCTGCTAATCATGGCCACTCATGGTCCAGGATGGAGGTAGGCAAGAAGTTGGACAGCAAGGGAAGACAGGACAGATGTGGTGTTTGACCTCTTAAACTTTCGATATGTAAAGGAAATCTGAAGAGGACTTTTACTAAGCAGTTCCTCTTTTAAGTTTTTATGGACACAACTTTTGAAAAGGGAAAGGTTTCAAAATGAGTAAATTACGACGTGTGGGTTTATTTTATATTCAGGAGAAAGCCAGAGAGTTACTACTAGGCAGATGAACCTCCCTACCCCATTTCCTTAGAACTGCCAAGATTTAAAAAAAACTCCTGATTGCACAACCATCGACTGCCTGAAGATCTTTTATGGCAGGGGGAAAAAGCTCGGTCAGAAAGGCGTTTAGGTGGATCCTAAACATTTTGCGCAGCACTGGGAAGAGAGAAAGCTACTTTCTCGCCAAGTCGACGCCCGCGTCCGTCTCTAAACTAACCCGGCCTGGCGACGCCAGCATTGACCCTACCACCGAGCCACGGCCCCTTTCCCAAGGACTAAACCGAGCCCTCATAACCAAAGGCGTCTCGGATTGCCCCGCGCTCCGTCCCTCAGAGCAGGAGATCAAACGACCGACGGCGACGACGACCGCTTCGACGGCGGCCCTTCCACGTGACCGTCACTACTGTCCAGGCGGGATCGCGCGCGCGTGGGAGCCGTGGAAGTCTCCGGTGCTGGAGTGGTGGTGAGAACGACAGCAGCCTCGCCTCGCCGCCTCTCCCCGACCTTTGCTCGGCGCGCTTTCGAGCCGGTCCCTTCAGGGGTGGTCCTCGGAAGCTCCACTGCAGCAGAAAAAGCTGCTCCCGCGCTTGGGGGAAGAGTCCCGGGGCCGCCGCCGCGGTTGGCCAAAGCCGAACTGTATGGGAGGAGCCTGGGCTTTTAATGCACCATAAGGTTCCGGCAAGCCGCCGCCGCCGTTACCGCAGAAGCCCGAGCGGTCTCCTGCAGTAGCAAGCAGCGGTGGCGGCGCGCTCCCTCTCCGCCCGCCCGCCCGTGCCTCGGTCTCGGCGTGCTTTTGCAGCAGAGCTTTGAAAGAAGCCGCCTCGCTTGCCGCAGCGGCGCCAGCTCTGCCCCTTGAGAGAGAGAGACACCCCCCCCCGGTTCCCCTTGGCAGCGCGTGGGGCCGGGGATTTGGCGTGGCAAGCCCATTACTTCCCCGCCTCCCCCTCAACCCCCCCGCCCGCTGAAATTGCGCTAAGGGGGAAAAAAAAAAAAACCCCGAGCGCGCGAGAAGGAGGATTGGCGCCGGAGCGCTGATCTTTGCAGTCCACGCGGACACCATTTTGTGACCGGCGGCGTTTGGTGACTTGGGCATCCCTGGGAATTGCTGCATGCGGAGGAGAGCTCGCCAGCCACAAGGGGAACCTGTTGGGCGTCGCGATCGAGAAGTAGCCCAGTTGCGGCACTTCGCCTTGGAACTGGGGATTGCAGCAGCCTCCCTGGGCATCGGGTCTTGCGCGGCAGCGGCAGCCTTGGGAGGAGGGAACTTGGAGCTTGTGCAGCAGCAACGGCGAAAACCGCAGCCCCAGCAGCAGCAGCAACAGCAGCGGGCGGCGAAAGGGAACTGGACCTTGCGCATCCCCATTCCTGGGTGGAGGCGAAGGAGGTTTGCACCTTTGCGCCAACGGCAGGAAGAGAAAGGGGCTTGGACCTTTGCGACAGCAGCGTCCCTGGCAGGAGGAGGAGGAGGAGGTGAAAGCTTGCTTGCTTGCGTTTTTTTTTTATTTTTTTTTTAGTTTTATTTTATTTTTTCCTTGCAGGGCAGAGAAGCATGTTAGTCTCAATGCAGCTCCCCTTCCCTCCTCGCCGCTAATCTCAGTCGTGGTGGGGCGATGATGGATACTTGCCTGCCTGTTCTCACTTCCCACAAAAGTAAGCCCGCTGTCAATGGAGGAGGACATTGATACCCGCAAGATAAACAACAGTTTCCTGCGCGATCACAGCTATGCAACAGAAGGTAATGTAAGGCCAAGCGGGGTAGTAGGGAAAAAAAAAGAGAGACAGACAGACAGCAGCTCCGTTCCGCTGCGGGGAGGCGCCTTGCCAAAGCTCAGCTCAGAGGCACAGATCCGGCAGCAGAATGGCGCGGTACTGAATAACAATCGAGCCTAGGGCGGATCGCGGGGAAGTAGTAGTGGCGGCGGCGGCGGGTGAGACGGCATTCAGGAGAGCAGCGTGGAGTTATACCGGCAGCATATCGTCAGCTATGCTCGGAAATCTTGGCCGCCCAGCAGCAGGTGGATCAGGAGGGAAGGTCCCTCGGGCAATGTGTGTGAGCCATCTCTAGGTGATGTCCAATTCATCAGGGCCCTTGATCATAACCTCCTCTCTGTGTCAGCAGCCTAGCTTAACCCTCTCCTGGGGGGGGGGAGAGGGGGGTGTCAGGAAGCATTCCTTGGGGCCTGCTGAACCCAAGAATCAGGGTGGCCCTTGGAAACAATGGAGGCCCATAGGGATGAATGGCAAATGAGAAGGGATGTTGACCCTGTTGGGTACCATTGAAATCAATGTGACCTGTGAATAGGTGATCAAGAAACCAGGGAGTGGATCCTGGGAGTGGGTGACAAGAAAAGCAAGCCTTATCAATCCTTAGCTATTCCTTCCTTTCTTTATCATTGAAAAACTTATTTTTGATGTTTCCTTCTATTTCTTCTTTTGCATCATGGTGAAAGCATTTCTTTTAATTAAAATATGTTTTTATTAAATGCGTTCATAATCCAGAGGTTAGAATGACAGAGGCCTCCACCCCCTCCCGCACGGCAAGCCTGGAAGTGGGTTGACCTCTTTTCCCCAAAAAGGAAAGGCATGGCAATAGGATGGTGCCCTCTGGGGGTTGGAATGAGAGACTTAAAATAACAAAATGCCCTCATCATCTCTTAGAGTGGGATTGCCTTCTTCCCGACCACGGAATGGCAGAATTGGGGTGGTGGCTTTTGAAATCGATTGCTCTTCAGAGCACTGAGACAGATCCAGGACTGGAATGATTGACATCCAAAACACACATACACAAATTCAGGTTACAAGATAATCTGGGAATTGGGTGGCTCCAGGGATGTAGAGAAAAATGAGCTCTAGCTCATTGTTGTTGGATTTTTCCACTTCAAAGGAGAAGTCATGTTTTCAGCTGATGAAGATTTTACTATGAAGCTATAGAGAGGCTGTAATGCCTTTAGTGCTAGTTTTCATTAGAGAAATAATTTTAATATTTATGCTAGAACATACACTGATTCTAACCCCAATTATTTCTCTCTAACTCTGGACCAAGAATTATTTGAATATGCTTCTGTTTTAGTTCATTGACATCACAACCAAACTACCTTTCTTTATTTTTTAGTACTCTGCAGATTTTTGTACTGATAAAGTAGATTGAATATTTAATAGTGTTTGATGGTATGCATTTGCCTAATAATGCTTCTCACAGCTGCAGTGGAACAGCAGAATTTTCTGATGGGAACCTGTTTTTGACCAGGAAGTTCTAAAAACATCAGTTCATTGTTATTTTAGTGACAAAGACACAGTGGTTCTGCTTCTTTCTGGCTTCAAAGATGCAAAGCAGTTTTGTGTCTTTCTCTCTATGTGAAGATGCTAGCCTTTTATATATAACCTGATCCCATGCAATGACAGTTCCCATGCAACTACATTTATTCCTATCTGGTCTGTAGAATGGTTACTCTTCAACCACACAGAATAGATAATCAGTATTGTTTTCAAAGGCAGGCATAGGTTCATCTGCTGAATAGAGCATGAGCATCTTGCTCTCCTACAAGTAATTGTTGCTTTGATGACTGGCAATTATCATGAATGTCACGTGATATTTCAATCTCTTTGACTGAGTTGTCAGTTGTAATTTTTTAAAGACTATATGAAGACTAATTTCAAGCCCCTAAAGCTATGGAAAGCCTTACTGCAAGTTATACTCTTCGAAAATATATGTAAGTTAGCATTTTCTGGTTTTTTGTTTTTATTACAAATTGCACACTCTATGTATTATCGGTTTACAAAAGTTATTTTTATAGACGATTCTGTAATTTGATTCAGACTAAGATAAGCATAGCAGATAAATGCTTCAATAAGTGTCCATTTCTGTTCTTTTATTAAGAATCATAGAGATCTCTTCTGTCTTTGTTTGATTTTGGGAAGTGTACGGATTAATTTAGGATATCACTGATTTCCTTGGAATTACAGCCACAACACTCATCCTGACATTCTCAAAAAAATACTATCCATTGTTTCTACCAGCTTTGTCATCTCTACCAAATCTTGCTATTTTGGCCACATGTCCTTTTGCAGTTGACATATAAAACTTACCAGTTTTGGGAAAAGACTGGGTAGAAGATTTTTCTTGTAGCATTTATATTTTTAAATCATAAGTATCTCTCACAGAGAAGGTACTGGATTGGGGAAAAGGCAATATTCTCAATAAAATACAGGTAATAATTTGGATAGAGATAAATCTATTTGTTTTCCTACAATTTTTATACAGTATCCACATAAAAAATTCACTTGATGCTATCATGTCATGAATCCCTTTAAAGTAATGTAAAATGAAAAGTGTAACTCTGATACTGATTTTTGGAGGCATTAGAATTCATGATACATAGTTTCCAACAGAAAATACAAATTTTAACTCATAAATATAATGCTGCTATATACAGTTACATTGCTAATCTTTTCCTGTCAAATTATTCTCAATAACTCAACGTATACATTCACTGATTTAAGTTGCTATAACTTTGATTTAGAACATTGTAAGAGACCTATCTTAATCCAAGATATGAACTATCATCCCCATCATGGGCCTTTCGGAAGGGGGATGGTCCATTTCCTGTATTCTACTCTTAGAGACTGCCCATTAAAATGATGTTTTATTACTCTTGTTTGATTGTTTAGTCTTATTGCTTTGTCTGTTTGCCTTGTTGCATGCCAGTATGTTATCACTGGACCAGTCCACAAAGATTATGAGTAAATAGAACAATCTTCTAAAAATAAAATGGAAGAATAAAACCTTTATGCCTAAGAAATGCATATCCTTACATTATAATTAAGCAAATGCAAAATGCATTTTTAAATCATGTAAAATAAAGAATAGTATGAAAAATATTACCAAAATACCTGCTTTGGCTGTTGTCTATTTGTAAACTTTGTCATTTACCATTCTTTTCTATGGAACTTACAAAAGTTCCATAGGCTATATTGTTTGTCATTTGCTATATCTTGTTTTGTTTGAAATTACTCTCTTGTTCACTTTTAACTACTCAGGGGTTGCATGTGATTTAATGATTGCTTACATCACAGGGTTTATGTTAATTCTGTGGAGTACTGAGTTGCTGAATTACTGAGTCTCTGTTTTCCCTCTCTCCAAAAGTGTTGGACTTACGATGGGAACAATGATAAAAATTGTACTAATGACAGAACAACGCTTCCAATGAAATAGCAAGAAACGTTTTAATGTGTGCGGCAACATGGCTGTGGAACATGTTTATAGAAAGTAATGCAATTGTAGTTTTGCAGCATTAGACTCTGTTAAATCAAGTAGGAGTGGAAATGAAAAAAGGCTGTTGAGGGAACACACTGCTGAAAGGCATTAGGAAAAGGGAGTTAATTACTTAGTTATTATTAGAATTATATCTCACCTTTACTGTACAACTCAAGGCAGCATATATAATGCCTACATAACAAAAGGAAGCTCGAGTAAGTGCAGAAAGAGGTGTTGAGTGAAGAAATAGTTTCCATGCAATTTTGAATGAAGGAAGGATGGCTTTGAAGATAAAGTAGAATGAGATAGATGTATATTTTCTCCACAAGAACTATGTGAGATGAGTTGGACTGAGAAAGAGTGACTGAACCAAAGTCATTCAGCTGGCTTTCAGAATATAGAACAACAGAATTGGAAGGGTCCTTGTTGGTCATCTAGTCCAACCTCTCAAGCAGGGGACCTATATCACTTCTGACCAGTCGCTGTCCAATCTCTTCTTGAAAGCCTCCAGTGATGAAGCACCCACAACTCCTGGAGTTCTTTCATGACTTAAGACAGAACTAGACCGCAGTCTCCTGGTTTCTTGCCTGGTACTTAGCCACTAGACCAACCTGGCTCTATTGACCAAACTGGTTCTCTATTATTGCCATTTTTTTAAAGTATCATGGTATAAAAATATACCAAACCAATAAACAAGGACAAGAAAACACAAAGCATGTTATAAACAAAAACAATTAAACTGAAGTCATATGTAAACCATGAAGCTGGTTTGTTTCAACCAACTGTTATTTTATTTAGTTTAGATGTAGCACCAAATTATGCATGATTGAAAACACAGAAATTAAAGCATTCAGTTTTTCTCCTATGGTAATGGAGGAAAGGGGAATAAAAGAACTAGAAACTCTTGATTGCCCTGACCATGTTTAACTATGGTGTGCTGTGACAGCTGTATTGTAAATCTTGTACTTAGTTGATTTCAGGTACAATGGATCCATTTTTTGTTAAGACTTCCCCTCCATTTAATGGACTTGCCAATTCAATCAAAGATTTTGTCTATTAAATCAAGGCTTTATGGGAAACCATGCCATTGTGTCAATTGCATAATAACATAAACAATATACATACAGTTTTAACAGACGTTGGGATTTAACAAACATTCCCTACCCCCATTGTTCAATAAATCAAGGGTTATTGTATCTGCTTCTTATGAATCGTTTAGTAGCTGAATATTATCACAGAAAATCAAGTCACAACTAAAGCTTCAATAGGAATAAATGATGTGAGCTTTGAGCCCTTAAGGCATTGTTACAGATCAATGCAAAGTTCCACTTGCTGTTTCTGATTCAATGTGGAAATACCTTAATAATTCAGCCTTAGACACCAAGAATGACATAATCTATGTAGTATAGTAGTATTCTTAATATCATTTATATTAGTTGCTAATTTATCATTTTATATAGTTAAACATTATGTTAGATAGC